TGGGCAGGGGGTGGGGAGGGTGCAGGAGCTGGGGAGGGTGCAGGAGCTGGGTGCGCCCAGGCTGGCGTCCCATGTCTGATGCTGAGCCCTCCTGTGGGTGCTGAAAACTCCAAACAAACCAGCAACTGGAGGGAACCGGTCCCAAACTGGCTCCGAAAAGCCAGATTGAGTGAGCTGCCTCTGTTGGGGACGGCCTCAGTTTTTAGTGGGCATGGTGGTGTTGGGTTGATGGTTGGACTGACAATCTTAGAGATCCTTTCCAACCTTAGTGATTCCTAGTTTTACTTTCATTCAAAAATAATGCAGCCAGCAAGCCAGGAAACATGAAATTATTCCTCTGCCCTTAATTGGTTTAGTGGTGGACGTGGTAGCATTAGGTTAATGGTTGGACTGGATGATCTTAAAGGTCTTTTCCAACCTAAATGATACTAGGATTCCCCAGCGAGGGGGTAAGGAACGTAATACCGAGCTTAAATCGGAAAGGCAGCTTTGAGATGTCCTCAGTGAGGCTGCTCCCCCACCAAAAGCACGTGCAAAGGTTAGGGGGCACGGCTGCTAGTGCAGGGCAGGACAGGGGAACCTCTGTCCCCCTCACCCCTCCAGCGCTCAGACCCTGAGGTGCCCCATCCTTCCCCCCCAGGCTTTGGGGGGCGGCTACCTCCACTGGGGCCACTTCGAGATGATCCGCCTGACCATCGGCCGCAACATGAACCCCAAAACCATGTTCGCCATCTGGCGCGTGCCAGCCCCTTACAAGCCGGTGACGCGAAAAAGCCTGGGCCACCGCATGGGGGGTGGCAAGGGCCCCATCGACCGCTACGTGACGGCGGTGAAGAGTGGCCGTCTGGTGGTGGAAGTAGGCGGGCGCTGCGAGTTTGGGGAGGTGAAGCCCTTCCTCACGCAGGTAGCCAGGAAACTGCCCTTCCCCGCCATCCCCGTCAGCCGCGACAGCCTCCAGCAGATGCGGCAGGAGGAGGAGGAGAAGCAGCTCAACAACCAAAACCCCTGGACCTTCGAGCGTGTCGTCACCGCCAACATGCTGGGGATGCGCAAGTACCTCAGCCCCTACGACCTGCACTTCAAGGGACGCTACTGGGGCAAATTTTTCCTGAAGCACAGGGTGTAACGAGCAGCTGGGGAAGGGGCTGCTTTAATTAAACCTTCCCACAAGAATCTGTGTCAGCTTCTGTGGTTTTTGGAGGCGCAAGTATGGGGCCAGGAGCATCCGGGTGATGCATGCATCAGGGCTTGTCTCCCACTGCTGAGACACCCACCCCGAAACAACGCAGCACCCCGGGGCAGAGCGTGGGTGATCTCTTTATTCAGGAGGAGGGCTCCGGTGCGGGTGGCTGCGCATCCGGAGAGCCGGCGAGACAGAGAAGTCGCCGCAGACGAGCTCCGAGCGAGGGGAGAGCCTCCTCCTTCCACCCCGAGCAAGGCAGAGCCCTCTACGTCGCCCGCACGCTGCCCCGGGGC